CATCATCTCTTCTTTAGGGTTTAGGGTTGAGGGTTGAGGGTTTAGGGTTGAGGGTTTAGGGTTTAGGGTTGAGGGTTGAGGGTTTAGGGTTGAGGGTTTAGGGGTTTAGGGTTTAGGGTTTAGTGGTTTGGGGATTAGCACCACCAGCCCTAGCAAAAAGGGTTTAGGGTTTACGGTAGGACATAGTCGTCAACTACAGCATCAACGACGGCATGAAGATCATCAGCAATACGACAGCGACGCCGACAGCAGAGTAGCAGCATCCACGAACCCTAAACCGTAAACCCTAAACCCTAAAGAGCCCTAGGCCTCAGCCTGACAGTCTTTTTTTTCTCGCGCACGCCCCGCGGAGGCCAGAGTTCTCTGGTTCAGGCCGTGCATATAATGTAGGGGCCTAAATGATTAGAATAGGGCTTTGGGCCCCTGTATAGCATAGCTATAGTAAGGAGCCATAAGGAACAGTGTCGGTAATTCTTTAGGCTTCTATAGTAGGCATTCCCCGCATGACCAGCAGGTTGAGCTCGGTGGCGGTCTGAAATTCCAGGCTGCTTGTTGAGAACTCGCGTTGCCCGTTCCTTGCTTCCCCATTAAGCCACGAAAATAAAAGGTAAAACTTTCATGTTACTACTGAATTATACGAACCCAAAAAGTTTATAAAAGGTTAAACTTTCAGGTTACTACTGAGTTATAAGAACCCATAAATTTGAAAGGTTGGGTATTGAAGGGTATTGGAGAGCTAAGGTTCATGCCGACGATGACATCGTCAACCTGGACCCCCCATCCGTGGAGGCCATTCTCCTCTTGCATCCTGTTCCATCTGTCGATGAGGCCACCTTCCAAGATCCTGCGCACGCGAGCTGCAGAGCTGTAGCCTGCTCCAGAGACGGCCTCCATACGGATCCCGAGCCTATCATAAGGATTCTGGCGGAAGACGGTGACGGAGAAGGTCTTGGTCCTGGCTTGCTTGCTTCTCCCCTGCGAGTCCTCCAGGGGCAGAGGCCGCTTGGGCAGCCGGGGAACGCGCGGAGACGAGGGAAGCTGCGGCTGCTGTCGCGGCCGCCGGCCCCAGCAGGCTGCTGGGGCAGGGCCTTGCGGGCTAGCTTATAAAGGAGGGACTAGGCTCTAGAGATGAGGAGCAGTTTAGGGTTGCTCAGGGTTGCGGGTTTCGGGGTTTAGGCTTTAGGCAGCAGTTGAGGTGCCGTAGCCCCCGAAACAGAAATGTAGGATGTGGAGTTGAGGGCGGCATGGTGAAGCATGAACATGGCATCAACGCATCATTTAGTTTCAGGAGCAGGGAAGCCCCAATAGACAACCCCACAGAGCAGACTCCTGGTTTAGGGTTTAGGGTTTAGGGTTTAGGGTTTCGGGTTTTTAGGGTTTTTAGGGTTTAGGGTTTTTAGGGTTTTTAGGGTTTAGGGTTTATCATAAGAACTCTATACATACGGGATCCCCGAAGTTCAACCACCCCCCCCCTTATCTCCGCCCAGGAGTCGCGGCTCCACCCCAAAAGCGGTCCCCGTGTAGAGCGGACTTACTTAAAGGATCATGGGACTTAGTAACTAAGGTTATTATTCGGGTAACTATACCCATATCTACTTATAACCCCAATTAAAGTACTTATAACCATACTTACTAAGTCCCATGATCCTCCAAGTACGCTTTAAGTACTCCTCATGCCTTGCACCCTCGGCAGAATAGAGCCGCCGAAGCTGATATACAGAACCTACAACTGTAGAAACCCTAAACCCTAAACCCTAATGTAGGGGCCTTAATACTTAGAATAGAGTTTTGCGGGTTCCTTATTATCATTTCAGTCTTACATACCCCCAAACCCTATCCTAATCATTAAGGCCCCTATACGACCGTAAAGCCTAAACAACAACAGTATATAGGGCCCCCTAAGCCCACTGCTCATCGAAGACCCCAAAATCCGCCTTGTGGCTCTCTGGGCGAACTGATGGGCGACTCGAAGGAGTCCATGGAATCCTCCTCGGCCGCCTGGGTCTCCTCGTGGAGGTCCGGGAAAGGAGTTTCAAAGACTTCGCCCTGCAGCAGTCGGACCCAAGTGGCGCAGACGTCCTCCTTTTCATCGTCGTGCCAGTGGACGCCATCACTGCAAAGCCTCCACTTCCGCACTTTCTGCCGTAAGTCTGTCACGTAGAGACCTTCGCTCTCCACAAGGCTTCTCACATATTCGAGGTTGTGGTCATAGTCTGCGGAGAGCTGTAGGCCCCGATACTTCGCGGCAAAGCCACCGATCACGAAAACAGCCTGTTGCGATTTCAGCTTCACAGCACGTATGAACTCCCTCCAGTCCGCCTCCACTTGCTCTTTGATCGGGCCGAGCATGATGTCGTTCCCGAAGTAGGACACACCCAGCGTGCCAACCTCAGGACCTGATCGGATCTTGTGCAGGAGTTGGGCCACACCAGCACACGCTATCGCCTCGTACCAGACGCTGGCACCAAGAAGCTCCTGCAGACGATTTCCCAGCTTCCTGGGCTTCTTGTTGAGGCCCTTGCAGTACAGCGACGAATCGCCTAAAACTCCAAAAGGGTACCTCTGCGCCATGGCTCATCGTCTCATGTAGGGCATAACGGAATCCAACGGTGGCATGATGTGGCATATGGTGATGTATGGTGCCTACATGCCTACATGTATCGAATAGCCGTTACTCAGTAGATAGCCGATGGATGTAAAGGATGCATAGCCTTAGCAGCGTGTTGTCTTCAATGTTGTGTGTGACAGCACGGCCATGGATGATATCTACTGTTGCTTTTGCGGAGTTGGTCTGGCCTATTCACACACGAACCGACCGAACTTGTCCCTGGAACGGCAAGTGGGCAACACTCGTGGTGCCGACAACAGATCCTCATACTGCCTGCACAATGACAGACCCTAAGCCCCAAACCCTCAACCGCTGCATTGGGGGGCTTTAGGTCCAGGTCTCGGCCTCGAAGAACCTGCCAAACTCTGCCTGATAATATTCGGAGGGGGTTGCCGGTTTAGGGTTTAGGGGGCTTGGGGTTTAGGGCTTAGGGGGGTTTGGGTTTGAAATCCTGTGACCCACTCACTGCGCCAACAACGGCAACGAAAGCAAACAAAAATAGCCATGCACCTGTTCTTGCCCTAAGCCCTAAACCCTAAGTAAACCCTAACAAAACCCTAAACCCTAAGCCCCTGTTCTTACAAAAGCCATCGGCTCATCCAAGCTTGGGAGCAGGCAAGGCACAAGCGATTTCGGGCGAGCCTCGCAGGTCCAAGGTTTTGGGGCTTAAGGGCTTAGGAGCTTAGGGGGCGTGGAGTTTCGGGGTTCAGGGTCCAGGGGTTAAGGGGTTTCAGGGTGTAGGGATGGCAGATGATGCTCCTGGCTGACCTCAACTCTGAGTGGCTGTCCCTAAACTCTAAGCTCCTGATTTTCTGTGCTCCTAAACCAATCCTTAATATAGGGGCCTATTCTAATTTGGGGGTTCCTTATTATAACTTTATATAGTATATCCCAAAACCCTATTCTAATTACTCAGGCCCTTACATTAAGGCCCCAAAGCCTCAAAACCCCAAACCCCAAACCCTAAACCCTAAACCCTAAACCCCAAACGCCTCCCCAGTGCATGTGGGCGCCATCCGCATCTCGGGCAGCTCCTGGCAGCTTTGTCTGTCTTCAGGAGTTTAGGGTTTATGGTTTAGGGTTTAGGGTTTATGGGTTTATGGTTTAGGGTTTAGGGTTTAGGGTTTAGGGTTTAGGGTTTAGGGTTTAGGGTTTAGGGTTTCAGGGTTTGCGACAAGTCTAGCACCAAAGCCTGCCCCGCTGCGCCCCAAACCCTGAAATAATATTATAGGGGAAAAATATTATAGTGGAAAAATATTTTTTCCCCTATAATATTTATTCCCCTATAATATGTTTTAATATGTAAGATTATACCACAATAAACGACAGTAAAGTATGACTTACTGTAACAAACTATCACATACTGTACTATACCATAACGTCAGATGGCTGCTTGCCGATTGGAGGGGGCATGGGCTCAGCTCCAATCCAATCGGAAGCCCGGAGCTGTATCCCAGATCCCGGGTGAAGGGTTTGGGGTTTTAGGGTT